CAAAAAAATTTAATACAAGACCACCTCATGGATTGGTTTTATATTATCGAACTGATTGTATTCTTCACAATACATTCACTTACTCAACTCCAACTTTAGAGTTTGTAATAGCAGACATATTATCATCTAGCAAAGGTATTTTTCATGTTGTCTTTGTTTACAAAGCACCAAACTGCAAATTGCAACAACTGAATATATTTTCCTTGCAGACCTTCTTCCTGATGTGTATTTAAGACATCCAAAAATTATCATAATAGAGGTTTCTCAACATCTTACGAACGGACGAAACTCTACGAACGTATTGTTAAGGAGCAGTAATTTTGTAATACTAAAATCCACGATACATTTTTACCAATATTGCAGTGTGATTAAAGAGAACAGTTAACAAATTCATAGTCTTTTTGCAACCTTGCATTTTATTTTTGTGGTTAAACATCAGTGTACTAATTCATTTCCTGTTGTTGAATGTTACGTATTCTTAAGTTGAGTTTCGTTTGTTTACATATCGTATATGCGTTCGATTTATCTCCCTTACCAATTTAAAATAAGTATTGTTTTGTAATGTTGTTGTTACAAACAATCGGCGCGTCTGGTTTGCATTTGATTGATTGGTTGTTGGCAAGTATTCCATGCATTTCTCGACGAGATTAGCGCTTGATAAAGGATTGAAAAGTGATTCAGATGACACAAGTTTAGTATTGATCATTTATTATATCCAAACATACTTTTAATTATATATACAATGTATTTTTATGGAACGAATAAAAGAGGAGTGTTTGGGTAAATGCTGTCTTCTAGAATAAAGCATCCAACAGGAAAGTCTTATAGTGGGTCAGGTCCAATTGGTCCGACTTCCTGTTATGCATGAGCGTCATTTTCGTGTTCGAGAGTATCTTAAATAAATATGTCGTTTACAACGCTATTTATTTATTCAAAAGAAAATTATTTATGGGGAACAAGTTACAGAAATATAAAGGTGCACTCGATCTTGTTGAAAGTATGAGTGCTACAGCACCATCAAAACTGATAGTTACATATCTTTAAAGGCACATTTAAAAACAAATTCTATTCCCAAAGTAAAAAGACAAATGAGAAAAATATAAACAGAAGAAAATATAAACAGCAAACCATAAAAACTCCACGAAAACAAGAAAACAAAATTAATTATATATATACTAAAATGTGTACGATAATAAAACATACACAACAAGAATAAGAACGGCCATGAAAACAAAACAAACAAAAAAAAACTAAATAAATTACAGAACATCTTTTTAAAGTTTTTAATAACTTTTTTTTTTTTTTTTTTTCAAATATTTATTTCAATGTTTCCGTTAAGTTAGCTTCTTAAGTTTACCAGTTTAGCTAGGATATAAATCAGTAATAATCATTTAACATGTTTAAGGTGAAGACGTGATCATTTGGATTTTAGAGTTCGGGCAACGAAATGACCCCGGATCCCAGGATGTTTTTTCTTCAAATTAAAAACTAAGGCGTTCACGCCTAGATTTTTGTTAACTCCTGTTTGCGAAAGACCTTCTACTATTGATTTGATCCTTGATAAGATTCATATAGATTCCTATCCCCTTCCATTCCAAAGTTCTATATTTACCCTTTTTCACATATATGTACTAAAAAATTCGAAATGATGTTGTCATGTTTATCAAAGATTGCTCTCCTTGGTCTAAATATTTTATATTCTTCGCCAAAGTTTATTGATCAATTAGATTTTCAACTGTGTTGATTGAACCGTAAATTGTATATCATGTATTATATATATCAAGTCAATATATTTAATATGTCTACGACTCAAAATGGTCTTTAAAAATCCAGCATGTATATATTGTTTATATAAAAGACATTTCAAAGGGAAGAAGAGCATAGCCGATAATCCAATATTTAAGGAATGACTGTAATATTTTTTCTGTCCATGAAGAAATAAGATAAAACATGTGGTGCACACTGAATAACCCGCGTAGCGAGTTATTTTAAAGTGTGCACCACATTGTGTATGTTACTTCGTATAGACAGAAAAAAACATGTTACAGTCATTCTTTATAATTTAATTCTAAATTCCATTTCAAGCCGGAGAAATCATGAAAAAACGTTGATGACGTCACGGTCACATGACAAAATTATGTCTATATGAGCTGATAGATAAAACACTGTCAGCCAATCAGAAGACGCGTTACATTCAAAATTAAATTATTTTCAAATAAATTAATGCTCCCTCTTTTCTCGTTTCGGCAAGTTACGTCAAGTTAGGGCAAATTTCGTTCGTTCGTAAGATGTTGAGAAACCTCTAATGGGAGACTTTAGTTTTGATTTAAACACTGGAAACACTTCTTTTTTAAAGTTCATGAGAGATACATTTTGCTGTTCACAAATTGTGTCTAAAGCTACTACATCTCATGGCACATTGTTGGACTTAATTTTCCTAAATTTTGATAGTAAGGTAAATTTTGAAACAGATGTTCTTGATTCCTTTTCGACAGATCATAAAGTAATATATGTGGCCTTTGAAACACAATGATTCAGTGTAATGATTATTTTATATACCGAAACCAGCTTTGTTTGAAAAGATGAAAATTAAACCCGCTGAAAAAATATGGCACATTTAAGGTTGCTGAAAATGCAACCTCAAATGTGCATGGAGTGGTTTTAAAGGAAAAATGGGTTTCCACTCCAACAGATTTGCCTTTTCATAAGTAGCGAATAGAAATGAGTTCTTTAAAATAGTGGGCCTTAAGACTCCTGATCTCCAGTATTACCTGTATAGGAGAACGCTTCTTTACAAAGATTTCTTCTTTATAGGTACACTGGATTAAGGGTAGCAGAGGTAAAGAAATTTGAAAGTCTGTTACTTTGACTTCCATAAAGTAGTAAGATCCTTGCTGATTGGTCAACCATTATGATATGGAAGAGGAGTACGAATCCATTCATTTCAAGTTAGTAATGATTGGATACATTAAATGTTAATACCTCTACTACCTGAATGACCATTGTATCAGTGGAGAGTGCCGTGCACTTTGCATGTGAACACTCCTGATATTTACTACAATTATTGTTATTATATATATATATATATATATGCTTGAAATATTTGTTTTTGAACACAATAAAAAAACATCTCTTTAATATAGATGTAAAATAAAGGAGTTTTGAAGACCACAAGTTCCATGTTTCATTTCTCTTCCTACAAAATTATTAATTTTAACTTGCTGTTTGATGATTTATGATTAGAAATGATTATAATTTGTTAAAATCCTTGCTCTCACTTCTATCAATTGTATAATACACACTAATTATGTGCATATATTCAATGTAATTTTTTATATAGATTACTTGATACTTATTTCAATTCTTTTGTTCACTGTATATATATATCCGTTTATTTGGCAATCGCCATGGCAGTTGGCAGGGTTTAAGAACATCCGTTGTTCGACCTGCTAGTCAAATGCGTTTTGTTGAAATATACTTTTTCACTTTTTTGTCTTTTGGAAAATGTTGTGTGTGCTGTATGTAGACCCCTCTACAAGAAATTTGTTTTGAATGCACACGTATAAAAATTGCGGTTGTTATCCAACGCCATTATAGGTTTGAACGTTGTTTTCAATTTAGACTTGTATATATTTCTAATCATAAATCATCAAACAGCAAGTTAAAATTAATAATTTTGTTGGAAGAGAAATGAGACATGGAACTTGTGGTCTTCAAAACTCCTTTATTTTACATCTATATTAAAGAGATGTATTATATATAAATATATAAAATGACTGAATAATAGCCAACGATAAATCTTACGGGGCGATGGATCATATAATTATGATACAATACACTACAACATATAATATACATTGTATAACCAGTCTAAAAGGGTACAACATCACTAAAAAATAGCAATAAAATGAACAAATGTAACTATAAATATTTCGGATAACAGATATCTTTCATCAGTATGATCATGATGTAAAATGAATCTTATTAACCTATTCTGATTATAAAACTATAGCAATCTTGAATTCTATACAAAAAGACAGTTTTACCAGAACAGAGACGCTAGTACAATTCTAAAATTTCCAAACACGGCGCAACGACATACCTAAAATAAAAATAGTAATAATTTGCGATATGAGCTTCCACAACTTTAAAATTCCAGAGGTGACGACAGTTAAGATGTTTGGAAATACATTCCCAATAAACAGCAATGACCGATCTAAGCTTGTATAATATTTCAAATTGTACAACGGTAGAGTAATTAAAACAGAGGCTGAGATCAGCCAAGCCTTGGATGTGTTCAATAATCAGACCGATTAACAATTTTTACAGGAGCTATGCCCCTTTGAAATAGATTTTCTATAGTGCTCACTATACAACATGGGTTTTGTTCATTGTTGAAGCTGTACGATGACCTTTATTTCCTTACATCCAGGTCATATTGTCTCTGGTTGATGAGAAATCAACATTGTATTCTATGAGGGTGCTACCTTTACGTGCACTACATATTCGTTATGTATTAGATGTTCCTTAACATGTTATCAAAGTCTGCTATTTAAGTCGATACTAATCAAACTTATTTATGAATATATACTATAAAATAACCGTTCGATACTGACCCATCCTTACATCCAAAACAGTAACGACAGACTCTAATTTGGATATAAAAAATGCAAATTGCTTGTATGTAGTATGTGACTGTGTGAATTTGTTTCATGCTTTATTTTCAAAATATTGCCTAAAATCTAATTAGACCATATATGTTTGTACTTGTAGTATTCAGGTTAAAACTAATATCAAATGGTGCTAATAAATTATCTTCACAAATACAACTTTAAAGTAGGGATCTTAATGATACAATGTGTATCGATGAATGTTGAACAAGAGCTTCCATGACAGAATATCACATCTACAACGGCTGCTGTTTGTATGATTGAATAATATCAATATGCATACAGTGGAAATTTGCCTGGTATTAGCTAATACGACAACTTCAATTATAGTGTTTCCAGGACAAATATGTTGGTATCAAGAGGTTGATCAATGTGTCAACGACGTTGGCACTGTACAGTTGCAGGCGAAATCAACAAGAGGTAAGTACATTGTTATAAATAAACATAATACTAACAAAATCGTTCGATCTAGAGCATGTCATTCAAACGTAATAACTTAAGTAAAAGATTTCAATCAAATCATATAATTCAAATTAGTCGATAACATCAGAAATATCAAGAACAGTAGTTTTCAACATATATGGCCCAAGAATACAGTTATTTCGTAGTGCATTTTTTGTAGGCAAAAACACACATTCAATAAAACGTGCCTGTTCTATTCAAAAAGATTTTTACAGTGTAGTGTACTACCCATGGGACAAATTATGTCAACATTATAGAAAAGGCTAACAGCTATAACTCAAAATATGGACAATTTGAATTTCATTGGGTCTATAGTTCAGTTTGACAGCTTAACACATACTAATTTTAGACCTTTTTAAACTGGACAAAATCATTACTTCACCTAAAAATTCATGCCCCATTTTTTTCACATGTAATTGCATCCCCCTTCTTAATATTCATGCATAAAATATAACGAAATACTTTTGAAAGGTGTATGAAAAAAATTGCAAGTTATGCACAGTCCACACTAGGGACTATGTAGACAAAGAAAATCAAATGACAATAACTGTGTCCCCGGACCATAAACATCTCATTAAAAGTGTTTCTTTTCTTTAATTATTAATATTTTAGTGAAAAAAGGGCGACAGATACAGAAGTTACATTCGGACTCAGTCGAAAATAAACTGGCAACACCATGGCTAGAAAAAAAAAACAACCCAACAGACAAACAACAGTACATGAACACAACATAGAAAAGCAAAGACTAATCTGAAATTGAACGAAAGCATTGATTGTTATGTCAGAAACTTGCATAGATTGTACAATCGCTTTGCCAAATTCATAAAATCCTAGCATGTATATTACATTATTTGTTCTTTGTGTTCTATTTTATAAACAACCAGCTGAAACCAATTGTCTTAGATAATGAAAATGTCTTCTGCACCACTACCAAAAGGAACTTCTGAAACCTTTGTTATCCTCCAAAGTCTGTATACAAATAAAGTCTGCATGTTGTACAAAACATGCACGATGTACAGTTTTGTACAACATCACGTTTTGTAGTCTACGTGGAAATAGATCAGCAGATATCATTGTGATATGATAAATGGCACGATTGAGTACATTGACATTACTTTAAGTAACTGACAGAGTACTTAATTGTTTGACAAAACATTATATTCAAGAAGTAATTCAAGGAATTATGTCCTTCAAAATAGGAATAAAATGGAAAATTCCATTATAATCTCTTAGGCCTATATTTCTAAGGTTGTTTTATGAAATATATTTTGAAAATGTATACCTGCAATGTCTACAACAAGTTCGAGAATCAGCTTCGACCATCTTTTTGAAGGAACTAAGTCCCTATGAAATGTAGATTATATGAAATGTTGCATTGTTACCACTCTCACGTATACTTTTGTATATTATTTATATTAAAGATTTAGATCAGCAAGGCATTGGGCGAATTTTATAATCAGGCCGATTAAAAATATTTTAACAGAAGTTAAACCCCTCATAAATAGATATTATAAAAGTTGCATTAGTCAAAAGGTTGGCACCGTTGAGTTGTAATCTTTGAGTGCTTTCATAATCTGTCAACACCAACCTTCTATTTCCCGAAACTTTCCTTTACGAGTAGGGCGATGCGTAACACAACAAGGTGTGTGTTTTTTTTTTTTTTTTTTAAATTTCAGATTTGGTATATATCAAATGCTATTGGTTGGGGACATTGGAACACTGTTCCTCTATCTTTGTTTCAATTGTTGTTGTAAATATATCTTAAAACCGTTTCAATTACATGAATTACTGCAATTTAAGAAAAATGACTGAATCGATGAAATTCCATGGGGGGAGGGTTTTCGTTCAAGAACTTGTTTGAAATGTTATACGTTTTGATTTTCTATCAAAATGTATAATACTTTTTTTCCAAAATCATAAGCTATGTGATATTTTGTAGAAGAAAGCTCGATTGACCCGCATAGCACAGTTTCGTTAAAATATGTTAAAGAAAACATGACCGAGGTCCAGATAATAACCAGAGCACAAATGGCAATTGGAAAGAGAGAAAAAAAGAATGAAACATTAGAAAAGATTGGTTAGTTTTATTTTAACACTATACGGACTTAATTAACAGGTTTGTGTCTATGACAAAATAACTGCTTTAACAGAGTTAATGAGAAAAACGACTGAAACTGACATAACGTATGTGCACGGTCTAATTCAGTTAGTATAAATATTACAGTCAAATTAGATGGTCTTTTCTTTGACCAGGTCTGATTCCGAACAACCAACATCTTACTATTACAAATTAATAATTGACTTCAAGATTTAAAGAGTTTAAAAAAGTCATTCATTATCATTTAGAAAAATATTCAGCAATCAATCGTTAAACATGGACATGTGTAATTCAGATTTATTATTATGATCTGCAGGTGAAATATACAATTATGAAGTAAACCACACGAACCATGAAGATTTGTGGTTCAGCATGGTTGTTCTTCTTCTCTTTTTTCCGTTTTTCTCATAATATTGTTCGTGACAGTCTTTTGAAATAAATGGTCTTCTTGTCCCTTATTGTTTTTTTCTGTTCATCAACAGACTGCGTTCACGTACAACATTTACAAAGAATAAAACTACGTATGTTCCCTTAATATACATTTTTGAATGGCATTTAAATTATCGCATACTCGTCTCAATTATTGAAGTTGAATAAACATATGTTTATTAAGAATTACATTTTTTTTTAATTACACTTGCACACATTTTATTCAAGTACTTCCGCCGATGGGTGATACGTCATTGAATTTCATTGGAGGCATGCCTTTACAAGTACAACTACAACTTATCAATTCTCAGCTATGTAACGAATATTATAAAATTCATCATATATTGCACAAAACGTAACGACAGAAGACAAACCATGGTCTTAAAAAGACTTCACTAAAAGACAGAACAAAACAAATCCTACCAAAACATTGTTCAAATTTGGCCGAATCTTGTATTCCCTGTGGAAAAAATATTTCATTGTTTCAAATGATTTTAACATTTTATGCACAGTTAATTTACAGAAGATAGAAGTTGCACGATTTGTCATGTTGAACATACCTCAACTCGTTTTTTTAATAATAGGTAAAAAATGAGTAGGTTTCTTACAGATCCTAAAAGTGATCGAATTAACTAATCACTTCGATGAGGTGGTTCTTACGAAAATGTGACGGAACGTGTGTTTTCATTCAAATGGATCATTTAAAGATTCTTTCAAACATTAATTAGTGTCTGTTATATTCGAAAAGCACCCATACTGTCTCGTTGCTGAGAATGAAAGTTACGAATAAGAACAAACAAATACATTGGGTTGCACCCAATCTTGCATTGGCGACTGTTTTAGTCTTGGTTCCATTCGATAACTCTGCATTGTACTGGTTTACGATTTTGAATTTTTGATTTACACCAATTTGATCATTTAAGCTAAAAAAATAAGAATTAAAATACATCAGAAAATAATGTATATCTATTTTATAACAAGGCCAGATTTTATAAATGATATCAAGGAAACTGAACTAAAACAAAAATCATGTAAATGTTCCTCTGTAATCTCATACACGAGGTAAATTTGTTTTTCTCAGTTTAGTAATTTTTCAATGACACTTGCTTGTTATACTTAATTGTTATGCAAAATGGTTGTACAAATCAGGTGTCGGATAATTACCTGTGTTTCAATAGTTGAAAGTTTAAGATAACCATTTTTATAATGACTTCTAAATTTAATTCAAAGCATTTTTTTGGGAAAATACTTTTGATTCAAAATATTAATGTTTTTCATTTTAACGTTTTTCAAGGACCTACTGTCAAAGTACATAATGCAGGTGATATTTAAAGTATAATATTAACGACTGTTTCTTATTCTATATTAAACAAATTTAAGTAAACAATCAATACAAACCTGTTTTGATAGATACACAACTGACTCTTTGGTGCAGTTTTAAGTTGTCACAATCTGAGTTTCAGTTGGATCAAGATTAAAAACTCGTTTGCATTTCCTTTAAGGACTTTGTTCATATCGTGAAGTTTTATATGCAAGACGATTCGTATTGAAACAGACACAATTTCACATGTGTGGTTAAACTTTTGCTGTACGAAATCTGACTCATTTTACCGCAATTTTGCATACCCCGAAACGCCCTTTTCGGTGTGGCTTCCCGAAGGAAAACATCATTAGTTATGGTCCTCTATTCTTCAACTCCGCAAAAATGGTTATGCACAATCACAAAGATTTTTTGATTACAGATTACATTTTAATACATTTTGAATATTAACCCAGTTCTGGATTTATTCAGAATTGTCAATTGATAAGTGCATATAATGGGACAAGACCTGCTATAATAAAATCACATTAGAAACAGGTTTCATCTATTCGCTGAGAGTTCTCACTGTTCCTAAAATAAACTCATATAGACTGTCAATGTTATAGCAAATAATTTTGAATAAAATTAAAAAAAAACAAAAACAATGAGAGTCCCTTACCTACTAGGAATATTTGCATTATACTACCTTGAAATTTGTGCTCTTATTGTTGCTGATATCACCAATTATATCAATTTGATCATATTTTCAAATTGACAAATTTCCTGTGATCAATATTCACGAATCATATTGTGATCATTATATAAGGATTGGTTTAAACTGTGAAAATATAACTTTTCAGGATCTAATACTCAATCAATGGAGAGAACAGAATGGGAAATTAGAACAAAATCATTTGTAGAAACGCCTGTCATTAGAGAGATCAAAGCAAATGTGGCTACCATAAATACCGTTGTGTTGTGGGGACCACCAGGGTGTGGTAAAACAGCTTCGATTCATTACATTGCCTTGTACTTACAAAATCATGAAGGATATAAACCTATACACTGCCTTAAGCCTTCTGACATATTTAACCAAAAATATCAAACGGGGAAACGTACGTTTGTGATTGACGACATCTGCGGTAGATTTGTATTTTCCCATGTACGATTTCTTACATGGGAACGACGTATGAAACATATAGAAGAACTTCTTCAAGATGATAGTGTAAAACTATTAATGACATGCTCCTCTGCAGTGTTCATTACTAATATTGTACAACATTGCACGTTATTTACTGATAACGCATTTGAATTAACTATACCTACCATATTGACTAACAATCTTTATACGGTTGCAAAAGACGTCCCAATAAATTCAAAACATGTACTACCTTCTATCATCAAACAAAATGTATTTGATAAAGTTTCATTACCCATGATACAATGTGAAGTATCTTTACCTTTGCGTGGTACATTTGACTGTTTTATTAATTCATCAGAAGATGTTGATAGTAAGGTAGAACAACTCCGCAAATCAAATATTTCGGCATTTTATAGTTTGTTTATATGTATACTCAAAACAGGAAGTATTGATGAAGCTGTTTTGACTAGTGATGACAACTCTTTGTTCACTGAACTTAGTATCAATGTTTGTTATACATTAGATATTGATATTTCACGAAGGCAATTTTTGGACAATTTATACTTTTTAATGGATGACTTTATTTTTAAAGATAATGGTTTATTTTTAATTAAACACACTGCTCTTTATGAAGTTCTAGCTGTATATTTTGGAGACAAATTACAGAAAGTGTTTATAAGTTATGCCGATTCGGAAATTATAACACAACACTGCAGCCTCAAAGCATTTAAGAATATTGCAGGTTATGCAAGATTTAGTATACAGGTAGATGAAGAAAATGAAGATCTCTATTTTCAACGAATAACAGAACAATTATTGAGCAGAAATATCTTCGAAGTATTTTCAGTCCGTCAAATGAGTATAGTTTTATATCGAAAAAAGTTGGCAGATTTTTTGAAAAAGCAAGGCCCAGTTGTTGTTAAACAAATCTCTCACTCAAAATGCAAAATTAAAAATGAAACTTGTTCGTCAATGGCAATGCGTAACGGATATGTTAATCTTGTCAAGTTATTTTTAGATTGCAACGAAGATTTAAATCCTGAGAATAACGAATATCTCGAAGTCGCATGCAAAACAGGAAACCTGAACTTTGTGAAGTTACTACTTAGCAAGCAAATCAACATCAATAAACCTATATCAGACGGCTGCACACCCTTACATATTGCATGTAAATATGGAATTCTCAGATTAATGTTTTACCTTGTAAAAAATAAAGCTGAAGTAAATTGTACAGACATGCATGGTAATACGCCACTGATTGAAGCATGCGAAAATGAAAACAAAGCAATAATTTCCTTTCTCTTGGAAAATGGAGCAGATATTAACAAGGCAAATTCGGAAGGGCAGTTTCCTCTGATAATAGCTATAAGGAAAGGAAGAATGCGAATAGTCGATGTACTTATTTCATATCGTGGTGGCGGAAATATTGCTGACGTGAATTGTACAGATATGCACGGTAATACGCCATTGATTGAAGCGTGCGAAAAAGGAAACGAAGCAATGGTTTCCTTACTCTTGAAAAATAGAGCTGAAATTAACAAGTCAAATTCTGAAGGACAATTTCCTTTGATGATAGCTGCAAGGAAAGGAAGAAAACGAATACTCGATTTACTAATTTTAAAAGGAGCTGATGTAACAAAAGTTGATGTGTTAGGGTATACATGTTTGATGCATTCAATTCAGTTGGAAACGCAAAAGATTCAAACAGTTTTGGCTCTTTTAAATGCAGGTGTAGATGTTAGTTGCTCATCTGCAGACGGGAAAACAGCATTACTTATTGCTATACAGGAGCAGCGAAAAGATATTGTTAAAATTCTAACTAATGACGAAGCCGACGCAAAGACTTTGGGACATAAACACTTCTTTAGGAGAAGCACGATTGAAAATATTGTTACTAAATCTGACAATCATGGCATGACTCCTTTGATACACGCATGCGAATTAAGAAATGATAAATTTGATGTTGTAGAACATCTTTTGTCGAAAGGAGCAATCGTTAATTTTTGTGATGATAATGATATGACACCACTTATTGTAGCCTTACAAAATGATGATAACAAACTTGTTAAATGTTTGATCAACAACGGAGCACTAGTCAACTTACCCGGAAATAAAAGGACGACACCCTTACATGAAATGTGTAAATCCGGTCAGTATAATAATGTTTTGCTACTTATATCAGAAGGAAGTGAAGTTGATATCGTGGATAGACAACAGATGACACCGCTCATGCTTGCAAGTAAATGCGGCTATTTAAAAATAGCCCAAGTTCTTATTAAGAGAAATGCTACAAAAGACGCTGTAGACCATAATGGGACGACTGCCTTAATGTTCGCCTGCATGGGTGGATTTATTGATGTAATTCGTTTCCTAGTAGAAATGAGAGCCGATGTTAATAAAGCAGATAAAAATAACTGGACAGCTCTTTTAGCATATGCAAACTCTATTAATGATAACGCTGAAATTGTCAATGTTCTTATTGAGGGAGGAGCTGATTTAAACTCTTCGACGAAAGATAAAGTGTCAAGTCTTATGATGGCTTGTTTTCATGGGCATCAAGAAATCGTGAAATGTTTGCTACAACATAATGTAGACGTGAATCATAAAGATATTTATGGAAAGACTCCAATAGTTTCGGCATGTTTGAGTGGAAATGTTGATATAGTGCGGGTTTTATTAGAAAACGGAGCTGACACTGGAGTTATTGATAAAAATGGCGATACTCTTGAATCCCTTGCAAGAAAAAACAACTTAACTGAAATGGTTGATTTTTTTGGTAAATCATGCCGACGTGTATAAACTACTTGAATTTAGATTGAATTGATACTATAGCTAATACCCTGGTTACAGGCAAAAAATAAAAATACCCTTGAATCCTTCGATAGGGAAAAAATCTAACAATATTAACTTTTTGTCAGTATGATTAGGGATTTGGTTTTAACACGAAATATACCTTTTTGGTCTGTATATATAATGTCAGAACTAATATATGTTTGGCTTTCCATACTTTTTTTCCAATAGCGTACTTGATGAAGGTGATTCTAGAAACACGTACTCATCAACCAGATTCATCACCGTATATCATGGTTTGTTACATTAACTACCGACAAGATGTTTCTAATCCATTATTCTTGTACATTCACACTAAATGGTGAACTACAGTACGGATTTCTCATTAAAGTGTATGTCATGTATATAGAATATTCATGGTATGTTATCACTCAACTTTTCTGTTTAAATTGTAGATTATCATCATAGACTTTCTTGTTAACATTAACAATTTATTTTTATATAATGAATTACACACATGGAGGATATTGCTGTATATATAATTGTAGTGTAAAATAGTTGTTTTATCCTGTAATCAGTCAACTATTGTACAAATAACATGTACACAAATGAATTTTATATTTATTTGTACCTTTACAGATACAATATCATGTTACCCCTCTTCCATGTTGAGCAAACGGTTATGTGAATATTTCTTTGTGGACAACAGTTCATTTTGGGTTCTCCTCGCAGTCCGCGTTTATTAAACTATGTCGATTTCCTTGAAAAATCAGAGACAACTAATTGGATTTAAACAACTAAACCTTGAAGTGCCGGTGTGAATTACAAGATAAATGTCCATTATCGGAAATATAGAATTCATTTGTACTCGCTACGAAACAGGAGAAAAACTTGGCTCTCACGCTTTTCGTCCTGTTTCTAAAACCCAAACAAATAAATTATACATTTTCCAATAACTTACATATATTATAAGCAAACATTCAGGTATAAGCTGATTGTTGTGGTAGTACTCTCCAATGTGTTTGTCACTTAATGCCTTGTATCCATTATTTGCATTTTTCTCGATTAACTATTGCACACATGCATGACATGTATTTGTAGCGGAATACTCAGTAAAGTTGAGCATAATTATGACTAAAAGAGATCTACAAATTTACCATAGTCTTAGTAACACATTATATTTTAAGCTTTATAGATCACGAAAGGCTTGTTTTTCTGTTTCCAATTGACATATGTCATACGTGTAGTCAAGATACAAAAAAAAACTTTTTTGTGAATTGTGAACACCATTTGATCATTTATTGTTCTCTGTGTACTCAATTGGACTTTCAGTTGGAAAAAATAGTTGTTTTTTTTTCAGAGATTCGTTCTTGATTTCCTTGCAACATAGTTGTATGTTTTGTTCATTCAAAACAAATTGTTCATTCAATATCCGTATTGACATTGCAATCGAATTCAAATATTTTAAGCAAATGATTTGATTTGTTTATTTTTTTCAAAACGTTACAGGACACCAAATAGGTTTTAGAAATCAACAATCACATAAGAACATCAACTTTACAAATAATTTACAGCAGGAATACAACCAAACAAAAAAACGTGAAGAATTGCAAGTGTTTGAGATGAGCAACAGATATTGCTCCAGCAATGGCTAATTCTATAAAGCCCTCTCTTAGTCATATCTAGCAAACACATTCAATAGATATTTATCAATACCCTTTTAATGGGAAACTATGATCTTATCGTATAAAAATGTGCAAATTGCTTGTTAGAATGTCTTGCATTTTTCACAACGCTTTACAATTCAATAACATAAAATGAATGTGAAAGTATAATAAGAACAACAAATTGGTTTGAAACAATTTGATGATTTTGAAATACAATATTGAGCAATGTTTTCATATATTGTAGCACAAACAACTTTTACATTTGATCGTTAATTTGACATTTCCATAAAGTTAACAAAGATACTGTGAACATTATCTTTTAATATGCGACAGATAAGACAAAAACATGTTACATTCGAACAGAAACAAATTCAACTACTAGTATTACATCTTTATCGAGACATGATTCATGTATTTATCACTCTTAAATGTAAGCGATAAGTATATGCTTTGAATTCATCATTATTTGTTGGACACTAATTTTCGGTGAACCATGTATTCAAATTTTCAACGAAGTAAACATTTTTTAAAGGCTAATATGTAAACTTTGTCAATAGCTAGAAAACAAATATTGCCAAAAATGCGCTTTTCCTCCATCCACGAAAATTGGTAACTACAATAATAATTGAATACACAGTATCTTAAAAAATAGGCGATCTTATCTGTCTTGATTTAAAAAATACTTTTTCATGTCATGATAAAACATGTAGTTATTGATATGGTCGAATTACAAAGAATAAAAAAAAAGCTTTATATTTGGTGTGTCCGAAATATGTTTCTGGATTAAGGCTAATCTGGATCACTCAAATTAATTCTAAGACTGTATAAGTACTAGAATTTGTGAAGAAAATTAAGATCAAAAGGGATTTAAAAGATATCCTAATCCATCTAAAGACAAATTTGCCTGTGGGATTTGGAACCTTGTTTCCTGAATATTTTGTAGATTTAGTCTACTGAGCATGCTGAGCCGATGATACCATTGATACCGAGTAGTCAACTCGCAGGTGCTTTGAACCAATGCTGTAAAAAACACACATACATTTGTTGTGTCTTCCAGATTTATATTCATCAAAAACGTACAAGTAAAGAAAGAGTTACATTAGAAGAACCATGCATTAAGCCGGATGGTGTCACACAGTTTTCAGACCTCAATGTATTTTTCTGTTTCTGTCGATTGTTTTGTATGTCGTCCTTACTCCCATTTGAAATGATTGAAAAAACTCTTTATTTTAAATTTCTCTGACGAAATTTATTTCCTAATATCCCAATTTTATTCCGTTGCAGTTTACCAGCTTGTTCCATATACCATACACTCTCGAAATGTCTTTGATAATCACCTTTCACACAAGTTATTCTTTTTAACAGCTATTTCGTCATGAAAAAAGGAAAACAACACTTTATAAATCTCATTCATGCTCTTCTGGATTTATCTTCATCAGGAAAAGTATATCAAAAGAATCAGACTATGCAAATCATGTCGCAATTGTAGTACATTTGTTCTTTCGATAACGTAGGTTTTCTGGCGATGGTTTGGAAATGCTAGATGTATAAAGAGTCATCTTTGTGCGGTCAAAAAGAGAACGGACATTAACTTCGATGTGTACATATTGATATTGCCAAATTCTGTGTACATTGGAAGAAGTTTAAGGTTTACAAAGGTGGGCTGTTGCAATTCAAAATTCGGCTCAATCCAACGCATTCCACTGGTGCATGTTATTACAATTCCCACCCTCCACGATCTACCAATTGTTACAGAACCTGGTTATTGAATTAATTGTAAATTTGTTTTTGGCATGAAAATGCTAAATTTATTTTACTTCGAACGTTAAGCAATCAAAAATCAATCAATCTACGTCATTGTTATAGTATTACTTAAAACAAGTTCTACATCCCTTCCCTAACTACGACTTGCTGGTGAACTCGTGCATCATGTATTAGATACACTGCCTACACAAAACACACGTCAAATATTGTTCATCGCGGATTCTATTAAGTGATTTTCTACTTATCTAGTTCTCTTACTCAAACGAAAGAGCGTTTTATTAATTTTAGTTATAAGGCAAATGAACATAGTTAAATTATTTTACAGTGTAAAACAAAACCTTTGCATGTTTTAATTAAATTGCGTATGTTTGATGGTCTTTTCAATTTGGTTAACATTCATAATATTTCGACACTCTACACCACCCTTCCTTACAATCTTCTCAACCATAAGTTTTCTTATGTAATTAAATGGTTCTTTGAAAATCTGGTTGCAGATTTTGTGCTGCAAATAATTTAAAGCCTTCTTCTGTAATGAAAAAAAAGTATCATGAATTTATATAATAATATCATTTAGTTGTTTGTAAGAAATTAGTCTGTCAGACATCAGTATTTATCTATATATTTCTTGCATATTTGCATTTCGGTTTCAAATGTTTTGTTATTGAGTGCAAAACTACATAAACTACCAAAAATAGGCCAGTTTTGATATATTGTCTTAAAAATCTAGATGTGTAAGGAGCAACTTTACAATAAAAATATATTATGCTACAAGATGTAATTTACACATATGATAATGTGTGTAAAATATCTTTTTGCTGAGGCTGTTGTTCACATAGAATTGTCATTTAAGCTTATCCAGTATGTCAATGTTAACCTGTTTATGATATGAAAGTGACATCACAAGTGACATTTCTGCGCTAAAGTGTCTGTATTATATTAACCTGTTCATTTATTAATATAATAACATTGTCTTGTAAGGCTTGATTAATTAAAACAAATTTGCAATTTCAGGGCCATATAATTGCTCTTATTATACCTCCTCCTTTTCTCCTAGACATCATTTATGTATGTGTGGGCAAAAACGTTTATCGTTGGTATTCCTTTGGGCACCAATTGAATATCAACTCATCATAAACACTAGGCTTAAGATTTTGTATGCCAGACGCGCGTTTCGTCTACAACAGACTCATCAGTGACGCTCGAATAAAAAAGTTCAAAAGACCAAATAAGGTACGAAGCTGAAGAGAATTGAGAACCCAAAATTCTGAAAGGATTGCCAAATAGGGCTGGGTAATCTATTCCTAGTATAGACAATCCTTAGTATTTCGAAAATTCAAAGTTTTGTAAACAGTTCATAAACAATTATGACTATATCAATGATAATCCATGCCAACACAGAACAGACTTGTTCCTGTATTGTTATGAATAACAGCGTATGTCTAAACTCAGTAGAGATCCTCAGTACAGATCCGTCTAAATACCATTTAATTGATATATTTAATAAGAATTATTGTTACTTTGATTAGATGTTTGCTGTAGATAATGAAGAATTTTCTGATCATATTGCGGAGATATACTTAGAGGAATTTACTTTAGATAAATATGATATTAACAACAACAATAGTCCCTTTCTACATCATATATTTCAGTTTTACACGAGAATATTTCGTCCCTTATTGATAATTTCCTTTTTTGGACGAGCCCTTCTTATGGTGTGAATATTTCGCTTTGATCGTGTCTGTAGTGGCTTTTTAGATTTCAAAGAACGTAATGTATGTAAAACTGGTATACTATTAGGTCAGTTACTAAACATTACTGAATTTTTATTAAATTCTTTAATAAATACAAAGATAAGGTTTTGAATTTTGGCTGTACCTGTTTAACGGTAATGTTGTTTCTACAACCCCATAAGTTAATTTAGATACTATTCATCTAAACTCATTTATCCTTTGAATCAACTAATTCTATAAGATATATCAATTTAACACCGTAGTAAGATCTTTAAATGTTGATTGATTGTTGATTGTTGGTTGCTTTACGTCCAGTGGCAAATATTTCATGCATATTCAGGACGAGAACAAATTAACAATAAATACAATAGGTAGGTTCTGTAAGAGGGACGTACGGGTTTAAGGTAGGAAATATTTAAACATCCACGGGAAATGAGGGTATATCGGATAGG